AGTTAAATCCTTCCATGGTGGAGTTGTTGTATCAAATGCTTGTGATAAATCAAGAGAAAAAAAATCTTTTTCATTAGAGTCACCACCCATAACATATAAATTATTGTTAACCACAATGGTGGCATGTACATATCTTGGGTCGGATGGAGTTGAATTTACCAGTAAGCATTTGAGCAATATTAAAAATATTAAAAATTTTTTTTTAAATGTCATTATTTTTAATTAGGTTGATTGATTCAACTACAAAGAGTTAGAGAAAAAAGATTGCATTTTTTATTGACTATTATTATATTCAAATATCAATTCATTTAATTTTTTTATATTGCATAGTACACGTCCAAATAAAAATAAACGAATCGTTAATTTGACAACACATATTTATGTTGATCAAATTTAGTCTTACTCAAAATAAATATTTGAATAAAAAACATCAAATTATATTTAGGAAATTTTAAGTTTGTAGTAGGAGAACATAACATTAATCAAATGTAGCTGAGGAAGAAAGGTCAGTTCCGGTTCTACATTCTCAATAAAAGTTTTTTTTTATAATGAATTTATTTATTTGGTAATTCAACCTTAAAACCTTGGCGTCTCGATGAAAAATTTATATACATATATTTTTTAATTTATAAATTGCTATTACAGGCGACTTCGTCGCCACTGCCATGTATAATATTTTTTTATTGAGTGATTATTTCGTGACATGTAAATTATACAGTCAAACCTCGATAAATCGAACTACTATAAACCGATTTTCGCCTTATAACGATGCAAAATTGGTTGACCAAATCATATCTAATAAAAATTACTTCATTATAATTTCTACTTTACTTGATAAACCGAACCTAACGTTTGATACAACATAATAAAAATGGAACTTTCCAAGTCGAATATTTGTGAAAACCAGTTGATGATCATAAACTGGTTTTAAAATTTGTCTTATAATGATAAAATTCGGTTTACTCCGCACCTGTCAATCACCCAAATCTCTCACAAATAAAATTTATTATTTTATTTGAACAATTAATAATGATAAAAATCGTTTTTC